GAGTGTTATAAATAAACTGTTTAAAAAATAGTAAAACGCATCATAGACATGTATTTAATATGCAAAGCAAATGTGCCAAAGAGAAGGGGTGGTATTGATACATGATAAGAGAAACAACAATTTTCCAATGTGAGCCTAAAATACAGGATCAAAAACTAAAGCTGTTAAATAACTACATTAGGCTTAAAACTGTACTTTAAGTCTTCAGAATATTCCCCAAGTTAAAACCAATTAATATCTCCTTGTAACATGATTGTGAGGGATGTTAGTGTTTACTTTATTGTAATAACAATTGACAGTTTAAAGATAAACTACCATGACTTCTGTCAGCCTGGCACCTGCTTACTTACATATAAATATGTGAGTTTGGTGCTATATTGTCCTCAAGCATGAGTCAAAACTGCCATAAAACTTCAGTCTGTAAGCTCTTTGGGTTTAATATGTCATTAATAATTTGTAACAACTGCTTAACTTTTGGTAACATCTAAAAGCATCATTTCAACTTCTACCCATTTAAGCTTGCCAAAGTTTTATGTCTGCTTACTCGAATATGAATAACTCACTTTTCAAGAAGTCACTGTGTGCGCTTGGGAATAAACTCCATCCATTGGTGAAAACAAGTGAATCCAGCCTGAGAGAATAGGAATTTTCCACCGCTTTCCCTTCCTGGCGACAAATGGCACGACAGTGGACCAAGCAAGGAGATCTAAAGACAAGGAGTGATGAGGACAGACTGCTGCTGGCGGGCTGAGTAAAGAGCAGTAAAATGACACATGCAAAGAGAGTGAGAGAGAGGGGAGAGTGCAGGAGGCAGGGAGGGAAAGAAAGGGGAGGGAGGAAGGTCTGGGAGGGAAACTCAGAGACAGAATGACATTAAATCAGAAAGAAAATACAGTAGTCACATTTATTACTGCCCCCAGATCACAGTTTTAGCCTCAATTAATGTAAAGCAAATACAAGTGCAAAGAAATGGACAAAGCTGTGCAGGTAAAATAAGCCACTTCTTTGTTCTCGAAAGCTGCAAACTAAAATGAATAATGTGATCATGTTAGTCATTAATTCATAATCCAGATGTGGCGATAGCAGAGAACAGGAGGACGGGGAGGAAAAAGTGGAAACAGGATGATGGCAGAAAAAGGTGATTAATGTCAGAAGTTCATCTTGGAAGCAATGTCAGAAATCGTGCGGCTCATAAATAGAAGTAGATGCGATGGAGATAGAGATCTATAAATGAAAGACACAGAGATGATTCCTTCATATATGATAGGCTTAAAAGTCCTGTCTTTGTCTTTATGTCTCTTTAACCCACAATTCTGTTCTTCTATACTACACAGAGTTTTCCATGCTTTGGTGTTAGATAGACGAGCAAAATGCTTCAGCGAAGCTTTAAAGAAATGGTCACATGATGCACTAAACTGATGGAAAGCTAGGCCTTTTTATGAAGCGGACAATTCAAAATTCAGCGGAGAATACTGGTGTCCAGCCGTCTTCCTGTGTTTTTCTCACAGTGTAAAAACAAGTCGTTTTCTTGAGTTTGTGGTCCCTGATTATAAAAACCCGGGACAGCTTCACGGGGAGCTTGCTGTACTCTGTGTGTAACATGTTAATGCTATTGGATTATAGCTTATTGTGTTTCCATTGTCTTTACAAGATGATAAATGGGGAATATTATCTCCCTTGCTTTTAAGGAAAGCAATAAAACCCTGGACTTTCCCCATTATTTATTTCACATATATACACCGTCCATCCACCGGTTATATGTTTGTTTGTGTGTGCGTCCAAATAGCAGGCCTGGGTTTTCCCAACAGTGTGGTCAGCATGTCTTGATTTATTCTAGATGGAAGAATAGTCACCTATCATTACCACTCAGCCCGTCTGCCTTCCTGTCGCACCTCCTCTGTGGTTTTGCTCTCTCTCTCTCCCTGTGTGCTGTGTGCTGTGTATATGTGTGTGTGTGTGTATATGTATGTGTATATGTGTGTGTGTGTATATGTGTGTGTGTGTATATGTGTGTGTGTGTGTATATGTATGTGTATATGTGTGTGCATGTGCCCGCACTGACAACACTTGTCTGTCCTACATCATCTTAAGTATCTTTGACAGCTCACCACAGGTCACTCACCATGAGCATAAGGTGTGTGTGTGTGTGTGCGTGTGTGTGTGTGTAGGTATGTGCAGCAGTTAAAGGGTGCTTTCAGAGGGCTCCAGCGGGAACAAGCCGGCTCTCATAACCTGTAATGGCAAATATTGATGTTACACGTGCTTTAACGTGCTTAAAAGACCACGCGGTGTGTTCTTGATTGACTTATATGGCATAAAGTGAGATGTCTGCAATCTGTTTTAAAGCAGAACAAAGTTTCAGTGCGGCCGACTGAACGCCTCAAAGTTACTGCAGAACAAACCATTACATCACAAATAAGAATCAAGTCTCTTTTTTTCTCTCTCTCTTTTTTTTTTTTTGCTTTGCGCATTTTAAGAAGACACTTGTCAGATCAGTCACATACAAATTATAATCGTCAATAATAATCAATAGTCACTCTTTGGCTTCTCTATTAAATGGATTAATCTTGAAAGAGATGCAAAACTTTTCATATGTAACTCACAGAGGCTACGTTTTACTCACAGGCCCACAAGATAAAGATATTTCAATAACTTAATATCTAATATGATAAAAAGAAAATGAAACAAAGCCAATTGGAAATGTTTAATATTAACATTCAAAATCAGTTATTAAAATAAAGACATGTACTGTCCGTCTGTTTGGTGACACTTGTCACTGGCGCAGGAGCACTGCTCTAAAAAAAATGAGAGACTGTACATATACTGGACCTGTCATAAGCTTGTGCTTTTCTGTGCAAATGCTGCCTCACTGTGGTGCCAAGGGGGAAATTATATGTTTGCTACTGAGGGTGTGTACACTAGTCCAGAGCTTAAGCTTTAGGTAATTATCAGGTAATAAAACTAAATACAGAACTAAAAGAAGATGTTTGTTTTTTTTACCTAATTGAAATAAAAATACAATAAGAAAATGTGTGTTAAACAAAATTAAACAGATGGAATATACTGTATATAATAAAAATAATGACTCAATCAATCAATACATACATGTACAGGAAATGTCTACCAAAGCCACCTGTAGTTCCTTTGTCTGTCTTCCGTGGTTCACTGTGGCTTTGACAGAAATATAGATAAATTAAATTGTGTCACCTGTACAGAGCACAAGAATAAAGAACTCATTTCAAATGTTTTTAAATGGCCTATGTAACTATTACTGAGCTATCATGAATTTAAACAAATAAATTTACATTGCTTGTTTTGATTCCCAAAAACCACAAACACAAGTAAGAAGAGGAGCAAGGAGAAGACCCATCATGGAAAGGCAGGTTTCTGCACGCACCACAGGCAGATAAAAGAAATGGATGGCATCCAGAAATCCTACCAGTGGCTGGACAAAGCTGGACTGAAAGACAGCACAGAGGCACTAATCATGGCAGCACAAGAACAAGCTCTGAGCACAAGATCCATAGAGGCTGGGGTCTATCACACCAGGCAAGACCCCAGGTGCAGGCTGTGTAAAGTTGCCTCTGAGCCAATCCAGCACATAACAGCAGGGTGCTAACAGGAAGGGCATACACGGAACGCCATAACCAAGTGGCTGACATAGTATACAGAAACATCTATGCCGAATATGGCCTGGAAGTCCCGAGGTTCTGGTGATGGCTTTCCAATGGACATAGTAGTGGTGGACAAGCAGAAGAAGACGGCCGTAGTGAGAGACGTAACGATACTGAATGACAGCAACATCAGGAAGAAGGAACACGAGCTGAAGAAGTACCAAGGGCTCAGAGAAGAGCTCAAGAAGATGTGGAGAATGAAGGTAACAGTGGTCCCAGTGGTAAACAGAGAGCTCAGTGCAGTGATTCCCGAGCTAGGCGATTGGCTCCAGCAGATCCCTGGAACAACATCCAAGAGCGCCGTCCTAGGATAAGCAAAGTTACTGTGCAAGAACCTTAAGCTCCCAGGTCTCTGGTAGAGGACCTGACCTTGAAGGATAAAGACCCCCCGCAGGGCAAGGGTGTAATTTGATATAAATATAGATTTCATAATCTCTATATAAAATATGACAAAATCACAAATCAGGGGAAAAAAACAACAACTGTGCTTTAGTTGGTTTAATTTCTTTAACAACCTTTGTTGAGTGATATCACCAAAAACCAGCTGTTAAGCCAGCCTTGTTCATGCCTATGTAAAGCCTGTGTAAATGCTTCTGCTTTCATGTGAGCACAGCGTGTATGTGTTAAGTCTGAAAAGTGAGTACTGACTGCAGAGATGAGGAACTGCTGCCATCTCTGCACTGAGATGAAAAGAAAACAGATTATCCACAGAAATATGCAACTAAGTGAGCAGACTAACCAGTGGATTTCCAGTGTGAAAAGTTTACAGCCCGAACCGTGAGCTGAAGTTGGGAGATTTTATGCTACACAGCAAGAAGTGCATCATCTTACTTCTAATATGAAATTCAGAACTGAAGTGTTGAAGCTCTGGATGACAGTGCAGCATTTTGGACTGAAGAGGAAGAAGTATCACACTGACTGGATGGCAATACACCTCAGCAGTTCAGCTAATGGGAGTTCTACTTTAGCTTAGAGTTGCTATGATTAAGTGCAGTTTAATATTTATGCAATCATCCATCAGTGTGTTATTTGTAACTGTGTGCGTGTGTGTAGTTCGCACTGTGTGCAGTATGTTTACAGTTTTCTGTAAAGAGTTGGTCAGTGCCTGAGGTCTTTATGTGGTCTAATCCCACAGCCTCTTTCTGGAAAACACGAGTAGCAGTGGAACCACTGACTCAAATTTTGGATCTCATTCTCATGACCAAGCAATTGTGTGAGTTTCAGAGGGCTCTGAAGCTATAAAAGAGGGCAATATGAGCACATACACGTTACATTATTGTAGCTATTTCAAGGGAGGCTAAACAGTGAAGCACAGTCGGTCCCAAGATGGGCAGGGTGAGTAGAACAACATTTAGATCTGGCATGTAAAATCATTAATACCAGGTTATCACTCACATACAATCCCCCAGATCATCTTCTACGAGGACAAGAACTTCCAGGGTCGCAGGTACGAATGCGACAGCGACTGCACCGACTTCCACTCCTATCTGAGTTGCTGCAACTCGGCCCGTGTGGAGAGCGGGACCTGGGTCATCTACGAGAGACCAAACTACTTGGGTTACCAGTACGTCCTGAAGAGAGGGGAATACCCCAACTACCACAGCTGGAACGGCCTCAATGACAGAGTCAGCTCTTGCAAGATGATTCACTTTGTAAGCCATCTCAACACATCAGGTGCCTCGTACCAAGAGGTCAAAGACACTGTGGTTAGTGGGAAAGTGGCTGTGTAAGATCCTACACATCTCAGGGGACATTGGGGAATTTTATAGCATTTTAAAAACGCCACTTCATTTTCACATAAATGAATCTTGAAATCTGGATCGGTGGAATAAATCAATGATAAGAAACAACGTATTTTGTAGTGACATCAATCAAACCTAGCTTCATTGTTTTCCCAACCCCCTCCCCTCTACCTACCATCTTCTTCTGTATCCCGCTTCACTCAGGCCCCTGGAGACCCCTACAAGATCCAGCTGTATGGCAAAGCCGATTTCTCCGGTCAGGTGTTTGAAGCGAGCGAGGACTGCGCCTCTGTGCTGGAGACGTTTCACTGGAGAGAGGTGCACTCCTGCAGGGTCCTGGGAGGCTGGTGGGTCTTCTACGAGCACCCCAACTACAAGGGCCGCCAGTACCTACTGGAGAAAGGCGAGTACCGCAGGCCTGTGGACTGGGGCGCTGTCTGCCCCACTGTGCAGTCGTTCAGACGGCTGACTGAGTAAAAGAATTCCAATTATTATTATTTTTTTAACCTTTTCTTTGGCTTTCGATTAGCTAATAATTTGCATCAATGCAGCTGCTAAATAGCTAAAATAAAAACTGAATGATGAGGCATTGCGCAGTTGTTTCATCCCTGTGTGTTAGTGTGGTGCTTTAAAGTGTGGAGATAAAAAAGTCTACCCTGTGTGACCACAGCTAAATTATTTAAAGCTGTATTAAAGAAGTTATTAAAAGGGACTCGGGGGTCTAGTTGAGGGGGTTGTGGGTGCTGTAACACCATTTAACGGATTTTATGTTCACAGATTTTCCCAAATTAAAAACATAAGGCACCACTTCGGTGTTTATGCAAAATTCAAGCTATTTTAAATCAGGGCTAAACTTGGCAAAGTATGCTCATGTCCTTTAGAAAGCTCCAATCATTGCTTTTGCATGAGTTGTGTAAGAGCTGCATTCATTTTCAGTCAGTCTAACATTACTGCTGTGTGTTGCACACCTTTCAAATCATTTTACAGACTGGTATCCTAACAGAAACCAGTGCTAGCACAGTAAAAGGAGAAAAAACATGCTTTTAGTATACACTTAGAAGTCTTTCCTTTATATGATTGACTGTAAATAAATCAAATGAAACTGTAAAACAAACGTTTATTCTCAGATCTTCTTGAAGGTGCTCATGATAACAGTTTCCAACAGTTTAAAATCAACATATTTACATTGTAACCCGCATGCCAAACTTTGTCATGCAGTAGGATGTGTGGCATGCTGCTCCTGTCTCTTAGTCGAGTGTCCCAGTCTTCCTGTGTGCTCACATCGAGGACTGTCCCTCATCTACGAGGCTAAGCTGGGTGGTGTGCTCCCCCCACTCCACCCTCTGCAGGTCCAGGAGGGGCTCTCGGGAACGTGACGCCATGCTGGAGGTTTGGAGAGAAATCTGAGGCTGGATGTCAGACTGGGAAAGGGAATGAGGATAAGACTGGGACATGAAGTGGGTCTCTGACTGGAGGTGGGACTCAGAATGGGATTGGAGTGGGAAGTGGAGCCGAAGTCGTGATTGCGGCTCTGATAAATCCACCAGAAGGGGAGTGATGGATAATGGGTGGCTTGATGAAGAAAGAGAAGGGATGGAGGTGGAAGAGGAGGGATGTGGCACGATTGTGTGCTCGTGGGGAGAGCTGTTGAGCGAAGGGGGAGCCGAGCGGTGAGAGACCGGGGGAGTGGTACTGGTTTGGTGAGAGAATGGAGGACTATGGGGGGAAGGAGAAGAAGAAAGTGGATCGAACTCTCCTTGAAACACCTTGCTCATGCTCAGCTGTGGAGAGGGCGGTTCATGCATCATGGACGACGGAGGATTTTGATCATCAGGACAGTGCACAGGTGCATGCTGGGTATTGAGGTGTAGGGCCAGAGAGCAGCTGAGTGGGGACACGCTGGGCGAGGGAGTCACGGCACTGGGAGTCAGCAGTGCGGACGGGTTGTGAAAGAGAGGCCTGAGAAGTCGCGTCATTTCCTGCAGCTCCTGACTCACAATGGATACTTGATGGGAGAGGACAGACATCTAGAGGACGAGATGAAAGGATGTGAAAGCAAAAATAATATTACTGGTAATCCCATATAAATACAGCATTTCTCAGTAACACATAATTACAAGAAGCTTTTATCCCAGACACTCGTGTCGAGATAACCCTGCAGGGATTTGTGTCTCCTCCTTGAAGGGAACCGAGGATCTCATGCTCACTGGCCAAACGTGTAAGCTCCTCTAAAATGGCTTATAACTGTTTCTTAATATATTCATTGGTCAGTGTCACAAATAATTATGAAGAATGATGTCATTCATTCATTCATTTGTTCTTTCATTTGGTCTAATTAACTCCCTGCCCTAATGAGTCTTATTAAAACCAGTAGCAAGTGATTAATTTTTACTGTCATCATGCAACACAAGTTACACCAAATTATATACAGATGAAGTCTCTTTATGTCTCTAACAAATCATAAATAATAAAGCAAATAACAAATAAAAAGAGCTGATGAATTCCATCATCTCACCGCCCGAGAAAAGAAACTCTTCTCCAAATCCAAATCCACACTGTCAAAGTCTATTTATTTAAAATTGTGAAAGTACACAAATAATTAGGCAAACAGGAAAAAACCTTATGCCTCAAGCTTAAAAACAAGTACTGAAATATCCATATTCATACGTGTTTCACATTTTGAAATCCCTGAAGCGCACAAAGGTGCTTAAAGTAAGTAAAGTTGTAGAGCTAGCTTACTTTTTTTTTAAACAAACCAATCTCAACCTGGGGCTATGGTAGGTATTTGGTGGGGTGGGGGTGGGGGAATGATTTGGCCCAGATTTTTGCTGGATGTACTCCCTCTAGGAGTACACTAGCTTGTGCCCCAGGGACCATTCACATGTCAGGGGACTGTGGTTTGATCACATAATGTAGTGTATTTAAAAATAACAAGGAAAAACGACACACATGCAGTGCATGAAATGTACCTTTCTAGCATTTGGAGTCATCGACTGGATTGATCCCTTTAATTATCACAGAACTGCTTCTTTGTTAAAGCCACAAAGAAACTGAATAAAGTTTTGATGGACAATTTTTTTGCCCTGAAGTAATAAACAAAATCTCTTGACAAACAGCTACATCTTAGGCCCCTGAAGGTTCTTATCTACATCACGTTATGACATCATCACGTTGTTTGTTTATACAAGATATATTATAATGTCACCATGTTACCTAGCAACTGCCTAGCAACAGGCTTAAATCATCAATTTTTAGGATTTGGTGCACCTAGAACACTTTATCGAAGAATTGCATTATTTTCATGGGGATGTACTACTACTACTACAACTACTGCTACTACTACTACTAATAATAATATTAATTACTAACTTCATGCAGTTCTTAGCATTAATAGATTCATATCTTAAAGTGTTGGCAAAGTCTGAACCTGAACCAACTGAGCCACTTTACATGCATTTTGTTGAGACTGTCCTTAGAAACAACAAGTTAGACAGAAAGTTAAACTCTTACAGCTGCACAACCGTGTTCTACATGGTTGTGTAATAAATCATTAGCTGCCACAAGTGCCCAGTAAAATAATGTGGATGTAACCACAGATTAAGAGCCTGCTGAAAAAAATGTTTTGTTTTTCATGACACTATAACAAGCCTTACCTCATATTTAAGCTTTGTAATGGTTTGCATGGTTTCATCCCGGGCCCCTGTGGACACACAGATATACACACTTACACACAATGCATTAATTCTGAGTGAATCAGGACTTTGGAAGCTGGTATGAAGGATGATGTAAAAATGTGGCCTTCAGAAGTCTGATACCCACTGAGCTGGACACAATAACAAAAACATCCACCATATAAACGAATGTTGTTCAGTAGCAACATAATATTCACAAAGGCTCTATCCATCAAAAAACTTCAGTATTACTGTGCATTAGTTTTTACAGGCTCTTCCTGCTCTTTACCTGAGGTGGCTGAATCCGGGCCGGGCAGAAAGCTCTGGGTTGCACTGGGAGAAAAATCAAATCTCGGAATTGAACCGCTCTGGTTTTCTGTCTCGATCCCATCCACAAACCTGAGGGAAGGCGGGGAGGCGGTGAGAGTGCATTTCACGCAAGACAACAAGATAACACAATAAAATTGGATTTACCATTTACAGATAATTGCCAGTTAGTATAATAAGAGACTCCAGAAAAAAAGGGGGCAGTTTGGGGAACTATTTTATCTGAATGTGAGAATTCAGCTATCAAAACCTGCTGGTTAATGACACAGAGACACCACATGGTGGCAGCAGACTCTGCCAACAAACTGCAATACTGGGTAAAAATGACACATTAAAAGCTGCAGTTATACATCCAGGCAGGTATACTGGAAATGACTTTTACTTGTTTAAGACAACATACGAGATCCCTCCTTCCTTACGTAAATTGACATTATACATAATGTAAATTTACATGAGCAAGTTCCAACAAAATAAATCATTCGTTGAGTCCAGAAAATCTTTTATTATATCACACAGAACTCCTTTAGAGTTTCCAGGAGTGTGATTAAGGCACTCCCCAAAACCTTTCAGTTATTTTATATTCTTAACAGCAAACACTTTCTTTTCAGAGTAGAGTAGTCGACAAGATTCATTAGCCTGGGAGGCACGAACCTGCTCAATAAAAAGTTGTTATTATTTTCCTATTAGGATCTAAAATATGCATGAAAGTGGTGCATGAGAAAAGATCGAGCTGTGCCCTGTCCTCTGAGGTGCGTGCATTTGCTCAGTGAATTTCAAAGTGAGTGGAACCTGGATGACAAACCAAAAATCCGTAGGCAGCATGCAAAAATAAGTATAAATGTAATAAGCGCCATCGATTTAAAGTCTATAGTTTTGTAGTTGAGTTCTTTTATGGGAAACTTACAACCAATCAAAAATGATCAAAGCGTCCTCGCTCCACACTGCTGTCTGTTCTGAGAGTGCTTCAGCTCTGAGAGGAAAGTCTCTCGGATCTATTATCTGCTAGACTCCTGCAGATCCCAGACCTCCATCTGCTTTCTACAAAGCCCGCAAAATTCACAGAGATGTCAAAGGCTCACCACGCCTCTCCAAGAACTCATCGTTATAAAGAGGGTTTATGGAAAGGCTGCCCAGCTGTCAACAGTCAGTGGGTCAAAGGTCGTGCTCAGTGTGAGCAGATGACGGAGAGAGGCTGCGCACCTGTGTACTAATTACACTCCTGCTCACGCACAATCATACACAGAGTGTGTGACTGTAAGCGCTCCCTCATTCACTCATCTGCTATTTACTCCTGCTAGGAATTTGAGTTTTTGGACGCTAATGAGTCACCACCGACAGATGTAGTATTGCATAACGCTAATGTGCGTGCCTATTATCTCACGAGGTAGGAGGAAAGTAGCGTTACATTGTGGGATCTTTAGCAAAATGAGGTGTAAGGTGAAACTTACTTTTTTTTTTAGGACTTTATGTAGAAATTGGACACAAACTACCAAAAACAGAAGCGTGGATTGAATCAAAATAAGGTTTTTTATGTGGATATAATGTAAGCAGTCCGAGAGCGCAAACCACCATGGTGGCTCATTCTCCGGGGAGCATTTACTTTTAAGGGGATAGTGTGTAAATAAACATTATGTATGAGTAGCTAATGGATACTGACTTGTAAATAAGGGCGTTAATAACGTGAGATTATTATATAACGTTATACTACAGTATATTTCTAAGTAAGTAAGCGGCTCATTTTTTCTCTTGACAATACTTTAAAGATACGACACACTTTGAGGCCAACTTGAAAAAACGTAAAGGTTCGGTCAAATATGACTTGATGCAAACTATTAAGTGATATTTAGAATGCTCATTCACCACAACACGTTCTCATCCCAACAAAATTGTCAGTATGTTACGTGTTTGGAGCTGGTTGAATCTATACATGTAAATGTGTTTTGGGGAATGAGAATGCTCTTTTCACCAGTGTCATTTCCTAAATGTTGCCAATATAAACAAAGGCAGCAGAATTTTAAGTTTTAAAGATAAAAGACATATTACGTTTGACCTTATTTGACCTTGAAGAAGAGGTCAGAGTTTAAAAAATAACATGATATTTTAAACTATATACAGTACTTTGTATATGTTGACACACACCACACTTGCAAGAATCATAGTTTCTAAATTCTAAGTAATTCAATGATTTATTGGTCAATTTTTGACCAATAAATCATTGAGTTGACCTTGAAGACCTTGGTAGATGTGAACCAATTTTAATGGACTGTTAACACGACCCCGCTCTACACCCCTACAAAGTTTCATCAGAATTCATTCAAAAGCTTTCCAGCTATCACGGTTACAAACAGAAAGATATTCAAATGCTACCAAAAACATAACCTCCTCCTCGACAAGTTTGCGACAGTTGCTTAGACATGATCTTACTTCCTGTTCAACAGCTTCGTCCTTTCTATAAAAACCTCAAATCCATCTGCCAGCTTTTTGTGAGACATAGTCGAAAGATTAACAGCGCCCATTCTGGTGAAGATTAAAAAAAAAAAAAACATCCTTTGAAGTAATTTGGTGAAGTTACATTGGACATGACACATCTCAGCTTTGGGACTTCCCATAGCATTACCAGACACTTCAGTCCCCAAATCCAATTACCATGTTCTTCCTCTAAGCATGTGGTGTTATTTATTCATCTAATTTTGGTGAGTTTCCCAGTTTTGAAGATATTGGCTGTAGAGATGTCTGCCTTCTCTTGAATATAATTAAACTAAACAGCGCTTAGATGGAATTGAAAGGATGAAAAAGGATGACTGGGAAAAAAAAATCAGCAGCAGCATCTCATTTCAGAAATCATGACCCACTTATTCAAAATAAAATATGCGAACTTTGTTGGGAGCAGTTTCATATAAGAACTATTCTCTTTGCTACGTCCACCAGTCATATTGCTCTGCAGTGCAGACCCGTGAAGAGAGCTGCGTGCTTGTAATAGGATGTATTAAAGGCAAGAATTGAAACCCGCCTCAGTTGGACTGTAATGTTAGGTAGAGTATATACGCCAAAACATAGAGAATTCCTCCAAAAAACAAGAGCACGCATAGAGAGATTGTGTGATTTCATTCTTGGATAAGTCTCTACTTTATGAAAGCCATTTCTGAAACCACTCTGAGACTCTGCCTTTATATAAAACACAGAGGGACAACTAGACTTTTTCCTCTTCGATATTAAAAAAAAAAAATCTTCTGAAAGAAAGCATTTTGAGAATCTGCATACATTTAAAATTTGTAACATCACTTTAGCTACACACAAACGACTTTTAAAGCAGTAATATACAACACCACCGTAGCGTCACTGACAAAAGAGAGGGGGGAAATTTTTCAACCCCTTATTTTAAGAAACCCATATGAAATGAAGACAGAAACATTTTGAAAGGAAATGCTTAGATGCAGAAAATGAACAAATGCAAGTATGTAGTGTAGCTCTAATGACAGCTGGGGTACCCCACCATCCTTTCTGTGGTCGGGATCCAACCACAAAATTTCATCAACATCACAAAGGATTTTATTCCCTCACCAGGCAGCATGGGAAATATGCCCTGGTGTGTCTAATCCAGCCTTGAATATCCTCTATGGAAGCATCCCTATCGGCCTCTTTCATGGAATTTAAGAGGTTTTCTATTGAGGGATTTCTGTCAGAAATCTTCCACTGCTATGATGAGAAAAATTCCACTACTCTGCAGTGAGGTGCAAAGGATGTGAGGGTCAGGGCAAAAAAGATTTGTCAATGTGAGGTGGTCATAGAACCAAGCAAAACCCGAGCAGACTGACGGAAACCAACATCTTAACACATGATAATGTACTTTTCACTGCTTTTGTCGTCTTCTATTTTCTTGACAGAAAGTGTGGACAGTCCATGGAACAGTGAAGGCACTTAAAGTGTAGATGCACTGTTTGTCCACCTTCCTCATTTTCTTTACTTCTTTCACTTTCAGTTTATTTATTTATACAGTTCCAAATCACAGCAACAGTCACCTCAAGTCGCTTAATATTGCAAGGTAGACCCTACAATAATACAACAGAGAAACCCCAACAATCATATGACCCCCTGTGAGCAAGCATTTTGGCAACAGTTGGAAGGAAAAACTCCCTTTTAACAGGAAGAAACCTCCAGCAGAACCAGGCTCAGGGAGAGGTGCACATCTTCTACTGGCAGACCTTCCTTCCTCATTCTCACTGGCCCATCATTCACCATCATCTGTTAACAAATGCCCCAATTTATAGGGATCTAATTCATGTGGCTTTTTTTTCACATGATTAAAGGTGAATTCTTTGACCTGTATACCATGTGTGCTTTCTGAAGGAACACAGGAGGATATGTTGCAGTGAATGATTTATCAAATTTTAAGTGGATAAAGCAGGATAATTAAGCCTTGCCAATGCCCCAAACTTATCCGTATTGAAAATTGATGCCTACCATCAATAAACTTTCAACCAAATTGTTAGTATGGAATGTATTAATATATATGAGGCTGTATGCATACTTTTGGCCCTGTTTGCATTGGAGAAAACCCCAAATAAATCCAAGCTCATGCACCGAATTCTTGTTTTTAAAGTCATTAAAGATGTATGCTGTGCAATCATTCCACCCAGGAAAAAAGAAAGGTTCAAAGAATTCATTAAAAGCCTTAATTTATCATGCTGTTCATGCAAACTTCTGACCACAACTGCATGTGTGCAAAAAGGGTTTAACACACAGAAACTAGTGAATATGTTTTGAAGTTTATAGAATGATGAACATCATTTGAGATGTGAGGTACGCCTAATAGCTTTTTAGCTTCTTGTACTGTGTTGGCCGTTTGGAAAAACTTACAAAAAATGTTGAAATTGTTCTTAAAACCACTGAATGCTTGTTGTGTTTGTACATCACTCCCTTGTATGTTCCCTGAAAATGGTTGAAAGTGTATTTACCATGTTTAACAAGTTTCAGTCGATCAAAAGTTGCTAAATTACAACTTCACTTCCTGTTCGGCAGCTTTACCGGTGGTTTGTCTTTAATGGACAAACACTGTTGAAAAAAATATCTATAAGATAACCTTTGAAAGGCTTGATTTTAAGATTGGTAAGCAAGGCCGACAGGGTGCCTGACTGCTGCTCAAGCCAAAGTGCATTGAACCCCTATGGTGCTTTCTCCGAGTGGTAGACCTCATTTATGCTAAGCCTGGCTAGGCTCGAGAATGAGCAAAGGCCCAACCAAATGGAGCTCGTTCTCGAGCCCCTACCCAGGGCCTGGCTCCAGGATGAAGCTCCAGTGATTATGTCTTGGTCAGGGTGAACTATTCCCTTGATCTTGTCAGCATCTAAGGGGTTTTCTGAATCTCTCTTAATCTGGACCCTCACATAGGACCAATTTGTCCCGAATAAAGGGCCAAACTTCTCAGGCTGAATGGTTGCTATCCCAACATGGGCAAGCAAACCCCTCCACCATGGTAAGATAGCAATTCATGGAACAACGTCCTACTGGGAGACCGGGTGCACACTTCTGATATGCCAGAGCATGTCTGTGATCTGCCTGTCAGCCAGCATGGCAATACCTTTGTATCCACCCTGAAGAGCTGTAGGTGGTAGGAGAAAAAGGGTCTGGGTTTCTCAGCTTAGCCTGTTGACTAATCCAGACATGGATACGAAGTAGAAAATGGATTTAAGACTATTTTTACCAACTTTGGTGAACATTAGAAAAAAAATGTGTTTTTAAACAATTTTAACAGTTTCATTAAAAAAAAATCCAACAAGACAGTAATTCATATGTTTGTGTGCTTTGAACTCAACTTTATTGAAGAAATCTAACTGTGCCATTTTTTTTTTTGAATGAAACGTGATTAAAAAGCCATGTGCCAAGAATCACTCTCCATCTGCGACCCAGTGCTGGCATTTGGGTATAAGGCATTAGATGAAGAAAAGGTAGAGACAGTGTGGGTGTCTGTGCTGCTTTACTGGTTGTGCCCAGTTTACTAAAACCAATCATTAAAGGTAGGTGACTTTTTTTTTCTTTTTTTAAAAAACACAACTGTAATCCTGCTTTTACATGTTTTTTGTAAAACTGACACAGTGGCACAATTTATGCTCGTCTGCGCCCTCACACAGCTGAGCCAAAATAAATTGATTCCCCAAGCCCAGAGTCTGCTGCCACCTCTCTAGGGACTCCATGCAAATTAGCCTGTGGATGGTTTGTGTTTATGAATAATGTCACAAGTGACAAGCAATTCAGGCCAAATTCCCACTGAGGATTATTTACCAGTGAATGAACTCCTCCAGGCGAATCTAATGCTAAGTACCGAGTCAATAAATCCGTGAATGGCTCCCTACCGAGGGCTGAGGTCCGGCTGCAGGCAGCTGAAGCTCACAACAGGGATCTGCAGGCTGGAGGGCCGGACGGGATCACTTGCTGGCCGGAGGGGCCTCGGCGGCAGAAGCGGGGAGCGAAGAGGGGAGCGGAGGGGGGAACGCAGGCCGCGGCCCAGCCTGCCAAGGGATGACATCTTGGGCAGAGGGGAGCGTTCGCCCTCGGACCCTGAGCCCTCCTCATCTTCCTTAATGGAAGGAAGCTTTTTCATGATTCCTCCATTACTCTCACAGTCTCCCTGATGGGGCAGAAATTAAGATGGGAGGTTAGAAAACATCATCAATTTTCAGCAAGACTGAAATAAATATTGAAATATTATTCTTTTTTTCCTACAGACTACCTTTTTTTGTCTTTAAAGTGAAAACACAAAACAATCTGAAAAGCTTTTTGAGAGAAATCAGGAATGGTGTCATGTCACTCGCTGATCAGTAGGGGGAGCTGCTGAGTTACTCAAAGCACTGATCAGAGTGAAGACTCGCCATTCACAACAGCTGCAACTGCTCTCATCTCCATTCATTTTATGAGCAGCCCTGCAAAGCAGCATTCTCATTCAAAGCAAACGCTCCAGTCGCTGACAGTCAGTCTGTGTGAGGTGAACCAACTGAACTAAACAGAGAGTTTAATTCCTGCACTCAGCGTGTTGTAGGCGGTAGATGCATTGTATTAAAAGGTTGTTGGTTGTATATCCTGCGCCTTTTCTCTTTTTGCATTTATGCATTCTCACATGCTCCAGTTCAAAAGCTGATTAAAAAAGCTGGCATGCAACCCCATTTTCTCTTTCCCCTCTATTCTCCCTTGTCCTCAATTTTTGTTTCCCCCTGTCACCACCACCAACACCACCCTTCCCCTCCTCTCTCCTCTGCTTGTTGTCTTCTTCATCCAGTCTTGGGCTCACGTGCCTGCTTGGTATTTTTAGATCACAGAGGTTTAATTTTAGCAGAGGTTTGCCTGGAGGGAACTAAGCGGAGAAGGGACTGTTTGGAGTTTCAGTGTGTGTGGGTCTGTGTGTAGTATGTGAGCAGCACGTGCAGTCTTGATATGCAGCGTGCCACAAAAGGGCCACCGGGAAGTTATTAGTGTTGGGTTTGCAGGTGTGGAAAACGGTGTATGTATGAGCACTGGGCTGGAGTGTGACCAGTAACATGTTGTGTGTGTGAGTTTCTACATCTTTTAGCAAGTGCAAATATGTTGTGTTATGTTAGTCTGCATTGTGTTTGCAATGAGGGCATAAATGTGTTGACACAATCACATCACTGTGAAGTCTGGTTTGAGCCTCCAGGAAATGAATGAAAGTAATTGTCTTCAGTAGGTGATGGAAATATGACTGCGCGTGTGGATTTCTTTGTGTGTTGGCACGTGAATGCAAATATCAGCAAGGTTCTTCCTCCTTCTTCCCCTGCAGCTTCCCCTTCATCCTGATGTTTTCCTCGTCTCGTCTCCATCTGGATATCGCTCTATTTTTATCCATCTGGGGATGACCCTGCCCCTCCCACACACATCTGACAGCACTATTTTTAGTCCCACGCTGCGCCCACTTAAGGATGCACCGCTGCTTTCGCTGCACGTGCATATACATAAACTCCATATGTGGGTTTGTGACTGTAAGATGCTGACAAGTTTGGTGCAGTGAGCTTGAGATTCATTCTTATCCTTTCATGCTGGATCTGCATCCATCTTGATTCGAAACTGCCTGTTAATGCAAATACCTAATCAGCCAATCACATGACAGCAAGTCAGCGCATTTAGAATGGGGAAGAAAGGTGATTTAAGTGACTTGGAGCATGAATCTGCCCAAACAAGCATCTCTAGGTTTTCCAGAGAACAATCTTAAAAAAAGAGAGAAACTATCCAGTGAGTGGTTTTACTTCTTTCATTTGAGACCAGGAAACTGACACTACATTTCACAAAGGATCTCCATAACTGGAAAACAGAAGATAGGAAAAACATTTTCCAGTCTGGCGAGTCTGGATTTCTGGGTACGCAACACAAAAGCATAGCTCCATCATATCTTTTAATAGATCCCCCTGTTGGTGGTGTAATGGTGTGGAGGATATCTTTTTGACACATTTTGAGCCTCTTAAGTACCAGCTGAGCTACATTTAAACATCATGTGTGAATGTGTGTCTGAATGTGTGTGTGAACGGGTGGATGACTGGATGTGTAAAGCGCTTTGGGGTCCTTAGGGACTAGTAAAGCGCTATACAAATACAGGCCATTTACCATTTACCACAACCTGTCTGAGTATTGTTGCTGACCATGTCCACGTGTACCATCTTCTGATGGCAGCACAAAGTTGGACAACTCACAAAGCTCAAATCATCTCAAACTGGTGTCTTTTCAATGCACCAATTTAATTATTCTTGTTGACAGAATTAAGCCCATATTTTTCCAAAACTGTTCTTGGCTTTGAAAACTTGTTTTGATACATCTTTCGAGTAAAATTCAGCTGGAACAGAGTTGAATTTTAACTGTGTTTGCTTAACCTGTTTGAAAACATGACCACATTTATCTTGTAAGGCTTAAAGATTTAATTTTATCTTCTAAATTATTAAATTCCAGAATTTGAAACTAGGTTATTTTCAGGCAGAATGAATTTAGCAATAAATGTTAAGTGAAATGTTTATGGCAAAATCTAATATTTAGTAAGAAATTGCTGCAATCATTTCATACCAGGTGAAATCTAACTTTATTATACTACACTTAAAAATGGGACAAGGTTAGGATTTCTAACAGCAGTGATGTTTTTATACAAGAACAACAACAAAAAACCATTATTTCGGTTTTATTTACATATTTTTCTGTCTTTTTTTGTTATACTATATGAATGTCAAACTCATTTTACATTGTGGACCACACAGGGCCCAGTTTACATGACTTTGGCCTTAAATTGTAAAACTGTAACATTACAGCCCACTGGTGAACCCACTGTAAAAATCATCAATTTTTACAGTAGATAGTGAAAAACCTGCAACCTTCTATCATCTAATTGTTTATCTATTACTTATTTACTGTGGTACAGATTGAATGGTTATGGGTGAGGTCTTTATCAATGGGAAACGCTGTAAAAAAAAAGTATTAAAATACAGTTAAAAGTCTAAAATTCATGCCATTCTTTATGTTTTTCCAGGGGACCAGATTGGAGACTTTGGAGGGCTAATTATGGCCCCTGGGCCTTATGTTTGACTGTCTTTGCCCCCTTGATGGTTTCTCTTGCCTCTGTGCTCATTAGCAAGCTTACTCACAGTAAAAATGTGACTTATTTCTAGTGTAAGCTGGTTTTTCATGTGCATGCTACAGCCGAGATCCATCTGTAAAGCCCTGGCATGTGAATCCTCGTGTTTAGATTGTGTCTTTATCCGCTGGCTGTGTCTCAAGCAGAAGTCGCGGGTTCCTCCTCAGTCCCGGTCCAGATGGCTAATCCCTTTCAAGTGCAAAGCCATCGCCGTGGCATGGCGTAAAAAAAAAAAAAAAAATGGGTGGAGGAGATCATTGCACAACTGAGACTAATCTAAGACACAGACAAACTATTTTCGTGGCTGTTACATTTAAAATGTATTATTAGCATGAGTCAGGTTTTACACTTGATCAAGGCAATGAAAACTAATTGAAATAACTAGAATTTGGTTCGTGATTAGGGGTACTTTAATCTTTTTTTTTTTAGCCAATTAGAGGAGGTGTGTATTGATATCAGTGGAAATGAGTTTTCGCCCTTTGTGAAGCAAAATAAGCTTGGTTAAGGAACACATGTCACAGGTGAATTGGTGACGCTTTTACTAATGCAGGTAATGACATAGCTCTGCACATAAGTTATGTGGAGTGACTATAAAATGAGTTTGCCAAGACTTTGGATGTTTTTGTTAAGTAATTGTTCAGTTTTTAGTGATGTTTTATTTTGGCATTTGCGTTTCCTTCTGCGCCTCTTGTTGATTTACTTCCTGCCTTTGCCTTTTCCCCTCAACTTTTATGATTTTTTCCGCCACCTTCATTTCTTTTGCCTTTTGTTCTGTGTTTAATTTTCCTGCTTTCTCCCTGTACCCTGTCCTTCCATCTTCTTGGTCACCTCTGCTCGTTCTCAGTGTTCCTCTCACTTTTTTCCTTATTCACATTTTTTGCCGTTTATTATTTCAGGGCTTCGTGTTTCTGGCTTGTTGCTTTTTCTTCTGCCTATTTCACATTGCATTGGGGTCCACATTTAAAAGAAAAAATAATAATAATAAATCTTAAAGCTAGGGTAAGAAGGACCCATAACATTCATAATGGCTCTCCAGTGGAAGGGTGTTTTTTTGGGGTGGCATCTGCTCTGTCCCTTAAATCAACCCAGAGCATAATGGAGGGATTATACATCCCATCTGGCTGTAAACATGTTGATAGGATATGTGGCTGTGGAGAACAATCCAAGTGCTTTACCTCCTTCTACCAACCACCAGTCACTGCTGGCACCTTGAGTTTATTTGTTCTTCCTCTTATTGCATTGAACATCACTGATAAAATATCACCACTGGATTTATAATGTGTGTTGCTTCAAAAATAATGTTTAGCCTGAAACTAAAATTAATGTGGTAAAATTGCTACAACAAAGGTAATGTAGTGATGTTTGGCAGTTGTTGTACCTCAGTGTTGTGCCCTTCTCGTAGATTGTACGTCAGATCGTTCCGGATTTCCGTGATGAACTTCTGAGCGTAATCGGGATAGAGGCAGAGCACCTCACGCAGCCCTTTGAGGCTGATGTACTGCAGATCACAGTAGGTTAATGCTTTCACACAGGCGTTGGTCTTTATAACTTCCTCCTGTGTCAGACAGTCAGAGCCAATCAAGTCACCGCGACCTGGAAAGCAGAGACACAATAGATAGTAAACAGTGTGTGTGAGGTGTTAAGAAGTAGCCCGGCACTTGATAGAGGACTCCTTATCACATCTGGCATCTGTTTTTTTTTGTTTGTTTTTTTTTCATAAGATGATCAAAAAACCGAGCTATGGTTTAGACTTCTCTTGGCAAAAAATGGTGACTTAAAAATACTTTAAACTACAGCAGTGGCAATGTAAAAGGTTTGTAATAACAATGAATAACAAAATGAAACAAAAGAATGAAAGCCACCAAGTGAAAATGGAGAGGATCCTTCTGGGAGTGAGAAAGAAAGAAAGAAAGAAAGAAAGAAAGAAAGAAAGAAAGAAAGAAAGAAAGAAAGAAAGAAAGAAAGAAAATCAAGTCAGTGCTGAGGGGATTAAATAACAATAAAAAGTAATGCAAAATAAGTAACTGCTTCTAGTCAAGCCTTAACTGCGGGGGAGAGACACTTGACCAACACAACTTCCACTAGCATCACATTACTTCTTTTGACATTTAACATCAGTTAACTAAACTACCACAGCAGCCTGGTGAGTACAGCTCCTGGCTGTGATGTGACTCAATTGAATGCACTTGGCTTGGGACTCATGCATCTAACTTGCTAGCATAGCTAGCTTGCTATGGTAGCTGGGAAGCTAGTAGTTAAATTTTAACACTTCACAAAAGTCAGTTTGCTCTTGGGCCTCGTTACCAGAGCATTAAATGCAAAGTAAACGTGGGTGTTACTAATGTCTACTTTAGTGGTTCAGCTCTTTTTGGATGTGAGCTTTTTGTGACTAGTTTCACCTGTGTTTACCCACTGTTTCATGTCATACTGTGGAAATTTTATTTTAGCAAAAGAAAAGCTCGACTTCAGATATGTTTTATTGTTACTAAGAAAAAAAAAATCTGTACTCAGATGAGTGAAATTCTAGTATTATTTTATGTCTGTGTTCGCACCAATCAGTGGGCATCAGTTAAAACAGTAGATAAAACTTGCTAACCAAACTAACTAGTCACATCTGGCTGTACTGACAAGTATGGCAGGATGGCCATATCAAGACAACCCGTTGGGTAATATCACAGTATGTTCACATCTGTTTATCTATGTTATGGTTCCCAGGAGAGGGCCTAAATCCCTAGGCTAGAAACTACTGAACTAAACTACCAAATAAAACTAAATAATTAAAACTAGCTTAATAAACTAGCTTGCACACTGAAGAGTCAATATCAACATTCTGATGTTATCATACATAACATCAAAAGCAAATATACATTTTGCCCTACAACCACCGTTTTCCTTTGATTCTCTAAATGTATTTAGCTGATTTATTGTGGACCATTCCCCAAAATACTAATATGCAAGAATTTGCCATGCTACAAGCAGCACATGCTGGCAGAGCTGGCAAAGTGCTCCCACTGGAAATAAACTCTGAGGTGAGAGCATGTGCCACGTATTTCAAGATAAGAACCCAAATGCAGACACAGAGAGATAGCCTGATAGCTTATCAGGAGGATGAGAGACAGCTGGTGAGACAAGGTACAGTTTAAACTAATTAATGAAAATTTGTCAAGTGAAGCAAAACTAGGGACAAATTACAAGGGACAAAAGACTACCAAAATAAAACAGGAAGTAACTAGGAAAGCTAGCCTAAATAAATAACAAATCCAATATATGACTTTAGAAAACTGATAGAAACTCGAGTTCTAAAACACCAAGAAACTCATAATATCAGAATAATCGTGGAAATGCACAGAAATCAAGATATGCCTCAGAAAACTATGAACAAAGAAACAACCATAAAATCACAGAAGCCTTTCCAATATTTATAGACACTGTGCGCTGTCGATATTACGTGCTGCACAATAATGGTTAATATTTAGTATTTGCTGTTATATTCCCATATATCATCGTGATGTTGTTTATTGTATTGCTCTTGTTTTCTTCTGCTTGTTTTCTTTTTTCTTTCTCAACAGGTGATCCAGATGATTGATATATGTATGTTTTTTGTCTGCTCATTTAGTTGGTTTTTGTTTTTTTGCCCTTTATCCCCGTCCCTCTTCTCCGCTGTTTTTCCCGCCTCTTCCTTTCTCCCTTTTCTTTTCCTCATTCAAGTCTGTCCCGTATCTAGCAAGTGAAAATAAATAAAATAAACAATAAAAGGTGAATCAAATAGATCATTACGGCAAGGCTGGGATGGTCAGTTTGGTAAAGTAAATTGGGCATCTTTCTTCGCCTTTAGACAATAATTCTGATGGCAAAAGAACCAAACGGGACAGGCAAAAAAAAGAAAAGAAAAAACAATATTTATAGAAATAAGGAAAACCTTAGAACACCTACAACAAGACTCACAGACCATGACAAGGTGACATGTATTGTTAGACTGTGAAGTACAAATAAACAGCTATGAATTGGAATAGAAGGTCAGCATTTCCTTCTTCTGCTTCCCCTCTTTACCACACTGTCGTCTCCTGAGCTGTAAATCCAAAGTGGCAATGCCACACCAATTTGTGCGCATGTGTGTGTGAGAGAAAGAGCAGACAGGAATACTGTGATAAGAAAAAAAGCACTGTTTGCTCACCTCTATATGTATAAGAAAGCAAGAAATGCATGCTTTTAGGCCTGCATGTGTGCACCCAATAACACATGCAGGTCAGACATACTAACGAGTTTGCTGTCTCTCCTCTGTAGGCAGCAGTCACTTTATTATTTACACCAGTTAGCTCATTAAAATGAAAAACATTGTTGCTAATTTGCTACCTCCACTTCATGTGGACCTGAACTGATTCCAGTGCTGTTTGCGAGTGTGCTTATGATTCTGTATTCTGTTTTATCCACGTCGGAATGGAAAGCGTGTCGATGTACGTGTTGTAGGACAAGACCCTGGAGAGGCTCTTATTGTGGCAGTATGACATTGACCCAGGTTGGTGATTTCAGCTGTTTAACAAGCTGCTTGCGGTGCAATTTAAAGGTGAAACTGCAGGAATATTCTCAGTGGTGGTTTGATGTTGTTAGCCATTACCCGCTCTCAAGTGAAGCTGCTGTCTCTGTGCTTCTTTTTTGCATTGAAATTGACTCAAACATCCTGAACCCACAGATTATCTCCCATATCCCAGAGCTTTTTAGCCTCTTTTTTTCTTTCAGACAAACAGCCCTCACTTCAATAAAATACTTGCGGTATAGGACGAGTCTCGCTCCGCAACAGCTGGATGTCTGACACTGTTTACGTATAGTGCAAAGTGTCTGACAGCATGTCAACATGTCTACAACTTGTTCCACCACAGCTAAGTGGAGAAATGAATAATTCATTAATTCACACATTAATGTTGTTTATAGGTTTGCTTTAGGAGTTATGGGTGCTCCCAAACGGTCTCATCAATCCCTGGGTCACACTCCATCTTCCATCTGATGGGGTGTTTATTGTTGCCCACAGGGACGGTTTAATATGGCTGCAGTTTTATAAGCTCTGGGCCGCTCTTCTTAATTATGTTCGTCTCCATAAAAGCCGGCTATTAAATCTTGAAAACCTAATAACGACCTTAGTGTTAAACAGCCTTTTTCCATCTTTGCACACAGCACTGAGACCAGACAAAACATATTTGCTTGCAAGCAGATGAGATTAAAAAGGAAGATTCCTTATCTTCTATTTTGTCTTCCTGTCGTTGATTTCCCGTGTGTTTTAAAAGCAACCTTATATGCCACCATCACAACTCTAGAAATAATTTTTCCAGCATTTTGAAATATTATTACTTCATAGGGGCAACCCTACATTTGTGCTTGTGCACAAATGTCATACCGGAGCTGGCAAAGTGCCGCCACTGTTTAACTAACAGCTGACGTAAGCTTCTGCAACTAAACTGTTAGTTTCACCTGGATCACCTTTGGGTCATCTTTCTGTGCAAACATTTCACTCAATTTCCAATTCTCACTGCAGCACAAAGAGAGACCGTGCAACGGTAATGGCCACGAATGAAGAGCGGAAAGAGGTTTCGATGACTCGACTCGAGAGCAAACCTCCCATGACGGCTATCTGGCACTCAACGAAGGCAATAATGACAGCGCTCTTTTCCTCTGAAGCTCACTGAACTCTATTAATCATACAAAGAAATGACTGTAGGCCTCTTTAGCTCCATCCTCGTGCACTCTCAGATAAATGCTGGTTTTTAAGCCTGTTTCCTGCCAAAATCAAGGAGAGCTTCTATGGTCTAGAGCACAGGTGTCGAGGGCTGGTGTCCTGCAGGTTTTAGATGTGTCCTTGATCCAACACGGTTTATCTAAATGGCTAAATGGCCTCTTATGCCTATATTTAACTCTTTCATTCTTGGACTCTTGGACATTAAAGACTTTGCATATGACTGGGTAGCATTAGCTGTTTATTGCCAATCGCCTGTGCCATTTATGTTCTTTTTTGCAGACATTTCAAGGAAATACATCACTTTTCGATCAGATTAGTATTTTGATAAGAGTTTGATTATTGGGTGGCCCCATTGGATTGCCTGGTTCTTAAGGGTCTTGCAGACTTTTTGACTTTGGGAATGGGTGCACTACATAAAGAACTGTCAGTACTCCTTTAGTCTCTCACAAACAGGGGGTCTGAACAGCAGGTGGGCAGACTGGGCTGTATGCTTGAGGTGACCATATTAAAAATCACCCTTCTCTATGACTTAAGACAGAGCCAAGGGTATAAACGTAAGCTTTTGGGTCACAGGGATAACTTGTGTGGACACCGACCTCATGGTTTAAAATTTTGGTCATGTTTAATATGAGCGTCTCTCATAGTAACAGTGTATATATGACAGAAAATAAGGAAACGTAATTTATGATTGAACTGTTTGGGTTTGTAGTCAAAATGAGCTGATTTTGTTTTTCTTTACCTAAAATGGCCAGCACAGTGTTGTCCTTCAGGACTTCCATGGAGCCGGAGCATACAAAGTAGATAGCCTGGAGCGCGTCACCCTGGCGGATGAGGAACTCCCCCGGAGCGCAAAAGGAGGTCTTGATGATCAGGGAGAGGGAGCGCAGACACCCCCTGCTGGCCGATTCAAAGAGCGACAGCTGCAGCAGCTCTTTATTCAAGTGCATCGCGATGTCGGCTCTGAGCTCATCCGGGAAGTCCTTCAGCAGCTGAAGACGGAACGAGAACATGGCTCAATCTCTGCCTCAACTTCTGCTGCTGTTAGAGGCTTCTCAACTTTCTCTACCATCCTCTGAATGTAATGTGTGGGAAGGTGAAGGTAACAGCCAAAATAAAACCTTTTCACCTTCCCACATAGTCACAAGCAGCTGATACATGCATGTTCAGCAAGAGGTTTAAAGGCTTAAAATGTTTTTGCATATTTACTCACTCGCACGATCTCGCTGGTTTCTAAAGGGAAAGGCCTAATGTGGAAAAGGGGAAAACTTTGCAAGGAGGAAAGTTGCTGGTAGTCATGTCAAAAGTAAGAGCGTCTGTCCTCCATGATGTTATTTCTTAAAAAAAAAGACAGGATTATCTAGATTTAAAACCAACTGGTGGCAAAACACACCAGGAGTGAGTTTAGAGTCTGTGAGGCCATTAATCCGTTAAATTAAGATGGCTGCTCCAGCGTGAGAGAAACCAAACAAAAACCAAATCCTCTCAATGACTGGGAGCCGTGTTTTTTTTATATATATATTTATTTATTTTCTAGTCTGCCTGGAGGACAAGTCACCTCATCTGCACTTTCACTCCACTTTATCCCATTGTGGCTAATCCATGCTACAGAGGCCACATGTCCGTTTGAGAACGTTAAAGGATCAGTCTCACATTTGTTTCCATCTAGAATTCACTGAATTGGATGCACAAACACTCCTATGAGTTTTACTTTTGCCTCAGGGCAGCAGTACCTGAGATCTATCTTAGATTCCTGCACTATCAAGACCAAATGTCATCCTTCCTACCTCACTGACATCAATACCGTTGTTGACAGACCAGGTTGTCTGGAAACACTCCATCATGCGTTGCTCCAGCACCTTGGGTAACCTGTGCACACGAATAAAGTCCTTCAGGTCCTTGGTGCGGGTGTGGTAGAGGGAGCGACGTGAGTACATCCTCTGGATGATGGCGGTCACGTTACCAAAAACCACAGCATGCATTAATGCTGCAGAGGAGACAGAAAAACAGGTAAGAACACCTGAAAAGCTGCTCAGTGTGATGTTTTTTGCTGTACTTGAGGTACTTGTGTGAGTTCGCTTAACGTCCAGCATGAAATGTGCAGTGTGAGGTTTAAATAACTTGGGATTACTGGGGAAAAGTGGTATATATATATATATATATATATATATATATATATATATATATATATATATATAGATATATATATATATAAATTTCCCCTTGTGGGACTAATAAAGGTATATCATATCATATGATATATATATATATTTGTTTTAACAGATTTTTTTTCCATATTTTGAAAACCAAGCATTAAATTTTACCACTTACACAGTTACTCATTTGCATAAAAAAGCAAAAAACAAACAAACAATGAGGTTTTGTATTTTAACGGAAAATTTTTTCCTACATAATATTTTTGGTTGTTGAAAAAACCCAACAGACAGACAGACAGACAGATATTTTTTATGGCTCAGGCTGTAAAGGGTTAAGAACATCTGATTTTGATGTCGAGGTTTTGCCCACCTCCGATCAGCATGGTGCAGATGGAGAAGATCTTCTCAGAGTCCGTGTTGGCCGAAACGTTGCCAAAGCCCACACTGGTCAGACTGCTCAGGGCAAAGTAGAGTGATGTCACGTAGGAGCTCCTGACAGACGGTCCGCCGCTCACTGTCATCCCTGAGCCATTCGGTGCCCTCACTCTGGTCTTGCTGCCATTCCACTGGCCTGAATCCAACACGCTCGCCCCGTTCAGTGGCTCCAAACTAGAGCCGTTCCACTGGCTGTAATTGCTTAGTCCTGCTGTCACAGTGTCTTGAGGCGATTCAGAGACTCCCAGCAGGGAGGTCAGCGGTGCCATAAAGTATGGCGTTCCCAAGCGTTTGGCCAGTTCATGGAGCCAGCCTGGTGGGGGAAGTGGGACAGTCCAGAAGAGTTTGTCAGTTTAATGAGAGTGCAACCGTGTTTGTTTGATGACCTTTACTAGAAGGCTTCATTAGCGGCGGTAATAAGCCTGGAAGGGTAGAGTCATTCCTTCAGCTTTGGTGTATGTGCATTTGGGAGTACACGTCTGACACAGCATGCAAGCATTTTAATGTCAGATTGTATTTATGCACAGTGCAAATAATAAGTCTCATTATCTGTCAGCTTGTGGCTGTTTTAACATTTTGACAGGAAGTCAAAGTCTCTTAGAAATTACTTACATCACAAGGGACTTCTCATATTTGCTTCACACTACTACTTAATCAACCACAGTAACGGGCATCACTTATATAAGCAGAGGTCATTCCTTGAACCCTAAATGGCTTTAAAATGATTAGGCATCCTAGTGGCGCACAATACCGATATAACATACTCTTATAATGCTTAAAAAAGTTCAACTATTATCTAGTCATATATTCATTTCACAAAACAGAAAACAGATGCAAAAATGGACAAAAACCTATGACTAGATCTGGAACAGGCTGTTCTTTAGTAGCCAAAGATACAATTTAAAATGTGTTCTTTGCTAAGTTGTCTGTTATGTGTAGACACAACATCATCCCTATCCATCAGAAGATGGATGAGTACAGGGACTGTACAAAGCAGCCAAATAAGACTTTGAAAGACCTTCAGAAACCCTGGAGAACTATTGCTCAAGACCAATTTAAACAAAACACATAACGTCCGTCTCCATGGACGCAAAATACAGAGACTTTTGTGCATTATTGTCTGCTCCCTTGTCTTCTTTCCTGCTGAGTCTCTATCAGAATATTGTAATTTCAAGAGTAAAACACAGCTTTTTGTCTGTAAACCCAGAGCTGACTTGTGTAGTGTTACATAAATAAACTGGTAAGAGAGCTTTTAAACCTCGTGTGCACAACTCTCATTAAGCCTGACTAGTGGAGAACAAGCCTGCTCATTGGAAGCAATTTGTGCAAGCTCAATTACCAACCCTATGATAAACGGCTGACCCACTTCTCCACCTTAGCCCACCCCACGTGTACATTTACATCCACGTGCATCTACAAATCAGAGAAAACCATATATCTTTAACCGCTGCTCACCATCGTCCTCCCTCTCTACTCTTTTGTCTCATTGCGCTTTGTTGCGTTAAATCGCTCAAACAGGATAAGCACCAGCACCACATGCACCTCGCAGTATTGTTGTTGTTTGGCACCGGTGAGCGCAGTAGGAGGGGAAACAGATCACCATAATTAGAAGTGTTTTCGCAGTGAAAGGACACACATACAAGCTGCACGTAGAAGAGTATCTTCATGCTTTGCTTCGGAGCATTTAAAATGACACGCACAATCTTTGATTGGGTCTGTCTCCCTGTCTCTTTGCTCTTTTGCTCCCCCATCTAATGAATCCCCGTAAATCTTTAAATGAAACCACAATACAGACACACAGACACGAACCTATATCCCAAGAGGTGAGGCTATTACTTTCGATCTCGCTGCGCCCAATGAAGTACCACACGCAGGCCATCCAGTGGGCCAGCAGTGCAAAGGTGGACATGAGCAGTGTGAGGACCACAGCGCTGTACTGGGAGTAACGATCCAGCTTCTGCAGGAGGCGTAAAAGGCGTAGCAGGCGCACCGTCTTCAGCATGTGAACGCCGAAGTTCTGGGAGTCAGAGACAGAAGGGAAGGCAAAAACTTGTAACGGGAAATATGACAAGTGGAGCTCATTAGGATGGGATTAGTTACTCTCAGATAGGTAGGGTAGAACATTTACCGTGACTTGAATTAGAAATAGTCAGGTTTAATCTTTTTCACATCTGGAGCTGGGGAAGGTTTGTAATTAGAAGTACTGGTGGACACTGACAGTCTTAATCAGTCACCTTGATAGTGAGCTATGTTACTGAGGGACCTGGTGCACAAACCTATTTACAGCACAGACAAACAGCAAAAACATGTCTCAGTATCCTTACAACACAGACGGAATTAAAATAGCCCAAGAAAATAAATTCAGAGCTGGTTCAAATTCAGTTGTAGCAGGCAGAGGAAGTCACTGATGTTATCATACTTTAGTGAAAACAGTCCTGATGCTCCCTCTTACCTCCTCAAACATGCTCACGATATTGATTTTTCTCATTCTGTGCAATTCCTTGCTCATTTCTGTGTCCAATTAGTAGCCTGTTCACTGGTTTCCACACATGCAAGATGGATTACACCACACAGAGACAAGAATTAATTCCAGAAACCTGGATGTGATTAAGAATCGGCAAAGAAGAAACAGGTGTGTGATTGCTCTGCTTTGCTCCTGTTTTAATCACAGGGGGGGGGAAGTTACAAAAATATGATGATGATAATCTAAAAAATAAATGATTAGAAAACAAACCAAAAAACCCCAACTCAGTGTCATGCTAATCACACACTGTACAGATCTGTCTTTAGTTGCATGGTTGTGTTGCACAAAAAAAATCTGAAAAAAGTTAATTTTTTAAACAGGCACCTGTTATTATGATTTCCAGCTCCTCAGTTTTATTCTGGGACTTCACTAAAGTGGTGTTTGAATACCACATTTTTCTAATTTTGGTTCTGTACGTTACCACAATGAATTTTAAATGAAACAACTCAGATGCAGCTGAGGTGCAGACTTTCAGCTTTAATTTAGGAGGTTGAAAAAAAGGATTGCATAAAAGTCTAACACAATCCCATCATTTCAGGGGCTCAAAAGTAACCAGACAAATGAAATAACTGAAAATAGAGTCTTCATTTCTATGCGATGACAGCCTGAGGTCTTGAACTCATGGAAATCACCAGATGCTGGCTTTCCTCCTTTTTAATGCTATGCTAGGTCTTCACTGCAGCGGCTGTCAGTTGCTGTTTGTTTGTGAGGCTTTCTGTCTGAAGTCTAGTCTTCAACAAGTGACATGCATGCTCAATAGGGTTCAGATCAGGTGACTGACTTGACTGAGTAAGAATATTCCACTTCGTTGCTTTAATAAATCTCTGGGGGGTTTTTGGAGGACATACACTCTTCGATCTTTTGGGTCATCGCCCATCTGTATTATAAAATTTTAACTGCATTTTAGCTGAAAAAATACAGTATATACACTCCACTTGTCACATCAGTACTTTAATTTTCTGTTTATAACATCAAGTGGTTAAGGATGCAACCAGGAAGCCTTAAAGAAGTGCCAGAAGTCTGGTCCTCCTTATCTAGAGTCCCACAGCCTTTTGGACTTGCAACCCCTGAAAGTACAGACATATCTCTTTATTAGAAACAGCACAATGGGGACATGAGCTGTAAATGCTCTATAAAAAAGTAGTAAAACAAAATAAATATTAGACCAAAGTAAAAAGTGTAGTGTAGCCTCATGTGCCAGTCGCAATGTTTTCTGCATGAACAGCTATCAGGATCTGCACTGAACATCTTCTGGCTAATCTACTTGTCTCAAACGGTAATTTGTCCTCAGCGTACTCATTTATCAACTTAATTACCAGTTACCTAATAATGAGTTCTGGTTGATACTAACCCTCTCAGCTTTCCTCCTTTTTGAAGCCACTCTTGCAACAAATTTGCACAGGAAGAGCAACGTTTCAACAAAATATGGAACAAAAAGTTGTCAGTCACTTTTCAGTTCAGGTTTCTGTGAGTTTAAGTGCAGGCGTTGTCGTCTCGGTGACCACTGAGCATGTTCAGTTTAATTGCCTTATTAACCCTTGTATGGTGTTCGGGTCTGTGAGACCCGTGTTCAGTTTTTTTCAAAAGAAAAATTAAACAATTAATTATTTTTTCACGTGTAAATGTGTTGTGTCTTTCCACTCACTCCACTTGATTATAACTGATTTATTTATAACATTTTATATAAAAGAAAAACGAGAAGCACATTAATTCATAAATGTGATCTAACAAAGGTAAAGGGAAAAAATTAACCATGTTTGCTGTTCATATGTCTTGTAATTGGGATGAAGTAAACATCTGTTGAGTAATTTAACATAAAATTGTTTGATAGTGTTAATTTGGAAAGCCAAAACTCTAGCGGGTCCACCAGACCCATGAACACTGGCTGAGTAACAAAAATACGAACACCACACAAGGGTTAAATGAGCAGTGAAAGAGTTGAGCAGCAGGAGAGTGCTACTGATAAAAGAATGAGGTCTATGACCGCCAGCGGGGCCCTTAGAGCCACTACCTTCATGTCACGTACACAAAAATGGATAAAAATCATAACTAAAGGATCACAAAAGCATAAGCAACAGTCAAGCAAGCAGGATTTATGCACCATGCCTCTATTCCAACCCTTGTGTAACCAACTAAAAGTCATTGCTGCAGACTCACCACACTGATATTGAAGGCATAGAGCAGGTCAAAGGGCAAGGCGGCAATCAGATCCACAGACAGCCAGGACGTGACGTAGTGAATATATATAGAACGGGCGTCGTAGACCACCTGACCCGACGTGCTCACGTAAGTTGTTCGGAAGTTCAACACGATATCTAGAACGAAGCACACGAAAGGCATCATTAAATCTGGAGATGACCCAGTTGGATGACCAAGACCAACCCAACTTCTATTGAAATAGAACTGGCTAGCAAAAAAAAAGGAACTCCACCTTCACCACAGACAAAACAAGAAAGAAAAAGAATGACATCACAAATGTAGGCTGAAATGCTTTAGCAGTGTGCCAAAACCTTAAAGTCTAATTGACTCTCCTTCTTGTGATTAATCAGTCACTTTCTTACCTAAAGCAACACTGTGTCAGTTTGGTAACTTTTACTTGCATTTTTTATGAGCAGTAGATGAGAAACTTGATACTGCAGCCATGCCTGTAGCATAAATATGAGGCTAAAGCCAGCAGCCAGTTACTCCGCAGAACCACAGGGACTGAGCTAGCACAACCAGTACCTGTAAATCAAACATGTATTGTGTTTGCTAAACCAGGGTTGTCAAACATAAGTCTCAGGGGCCAGAATCAACCCGCTTTTCTAAAGTCATTTGACGGCTATGGAAGGAAGCGCATGAAACTTAAATTATTTTAAAAATTATTTTTTGAAGGGTGGCATAAATTTTACTTTTATCTGTGTTTTCATAACTTAAAGGACCTTCTCCACGTTCATTCAAAATTCACCAGTAAATAAGTATAAGATAAACCATTAGATGACAGAAAGTTCCTGTTTTTTCACTGTTTAATTTTGAAATTTACAAAAAAAAAAAAAAGAAAAAGAGGAGTTTCTGCCAATTTTCCATTTGATAATTACAGGACAGTGTGTGCAATGAGCTAACAGAACTTTTTCTGTAAGTTTATAGATTTATTTCTTAAGCCCATCATGCAGAAAAACTGAGATGTGTTGTTAAAATTTTCGGCAAAACTTACATTTTAACTACTGATTTTATCTACTGTTTTTTTTAATCGATTTTAAATCATGCTTTTTATTTGTTTTTGTTTTTTAATGTCTCTGTAAAGCACTTTGAATCACCTTGTTGTTGAATTGTTCTATATAAATAAACTTGCCTTGCCACAGTGGGCTGTACTTGGCCTACGATGTAAACTGAGTTTGACATTGCCGCTCTAAACAAAGCCAAATGGAAAAAAAAAAGAAAAAAGAAAACCCTGTCTTGCTTGTTTGTTTTTTCACTTTAACTTTTAAACAGGGCAAAACTTGCTGTTTCTTCCTGTTTAAAGTGTTTATGCTAACCAGCTGCTGGCAGCAGTTGTGCACTAGTTTCCTCAGTTTTAATGTTGCTCTCCCCAAAAAAAAGTCTGTATAAAAGAGATAAATGACACAGCTGCCTACACGAGTGACTAATGTGAGCTCCTGGTGGCTTTTAAAGCAGTCTGATCTTACAAGTTCCACTTCCAGACTGACCCAGATTACCTAAACACAAACTGTATTCATGTTTTGGTACAAATGGAACAAAACACAGGCCTGGGTGACCTGGTTAGTGCAGCTGCAATGGGAGATGTAGAGTCACATGGACACTAACAGCCGCTTTTGACTGAAGGGACTTTTCGAGAGGTCAGGAGAGTGGGTATCATTTGTCTCACAGACTGTTTAACGCAAACTTTTATGGGATTTGGGCCTTTGTAAATACTTTTGTGTGACTTCTATATGGATCCTTGATCATTTCAGGCTCATATTATATTCACCATTCATAGATGTTTCCACCAGAAAAAAAAGGTGCTCATTTTTAAGTATGGTTCATAAAATTGGATAGAAAATGATAGGAGTTAAAAGAGAAATGACTGGCAGAGAGAGGGGAAGCATCTTAAAACGGGCTTACCAATGATAAAAAGTATCTCCACCAAGATATCGCTGACACTCGGTGGGTTTCGCGCTGCCGAGCCGCCGTCCTCTCGTATTTCCACAGCTGTGAAGCAAACGTTATAGGGAACTGTGATGGCCACGTAGAAAGTGGCCAACAAGATCAGCCAATCCCAGCCGGCCTTGAATGCACCGTAGTGAAGGAGGATGAAACGGGATTTTTGGACATCGGCCACCTTATACTCGGGGACAGGGTTCGCATTGGCTCCGAGAACGCTCTTGATGTGTAGCATGGAAAAACACACATGAGAATTAATGGGCATAAATTAACAGTATTAGCATTATATATCTGCCAAGTTAACAATGGGGAGTGGCTTTTCATCTCCATTAAATATTTCATCTTTAGCACTAGATGTGAAGGTATAATTTATGGTTCCACTGGATTGGCGTGATTGAGACTTATATCGCCATCAAATCTAAATAAAATTGGCCAAGCTGAAGACAAATGGCTATTCCGACTGCTCCTCGCATGTTGGAGGCAGTTTGGCAGTCTTTATGTCATTAAAGGTTGCTTAAATTTACAAGCCTTCATCTTTTTGAATTGATATGCAGATCACAATCACAAGCAAAGCTCTTGAAACCATGACAACCCTCTTAATCAGTAAAGCCAGTAAACCCCTGACACCTTATATGGCGCTTCAGTTGCACTCTCCTGGAGGCTGCAGCTTTCCCTACAGACAAAACATGCTGATGACACTGCGACTTTTGGCCTTACTAAAGGCTTAGTCAGGGTTTGAAAGTCTGTGACGGGGTATTTATATTTAAAATGGCGCATCCTCTGTGCATATTTTATTGATACTTAGCAAAGGAGAATTGTGACTGTAGAGTAAAAGTCAGAGGTCACTGAACTTTAAAAAAAAGGCATTGGCTGTGAATAATTTAAACCACCAAACACAGCACATCTCACATTGTTGATCTTCAGCTTGCTCTTGGTTTTGTCCTGTTTCTGCAGGTGTCCCGACAGCTGATAGAGGACAGCCCGACTGCGCCGGCGCTCCATGTTACAGCCTGAGGGGCAGCTGATCTGGCGAATCTCCAGACCAGTTTCCTCATCTGAGAGCAAGGGCACACAATAGGAGAACAAAGCACTAATGTGGCAGAAACTCTCACCGTGCTAACCTGCACATGCCTATAACTGAATCTAAAAGGAGGCAAATGAGAGATAGCTTGAGGACGACTGTTGTCTGGTTTAATTGAGCAACATTATGAACATTGTAGTAGTTTGGCTCCACCGAGATCTGTAATCTAAAGCTAATATGTTTCACTTTAGGTCGTGGCTGTTCACCATAGCTATGGAGAGCCATAATCTAAATGTCTGAGGTCGTGTAAAACACTACACTAATACGTGAGGTGATGACAGCATTAGATTAGTGGAGCGATGCTGTACATTTACTCCCTGCTGCTGTGGAGCTGGTTGTTATGTCTTTACATCCCTCAACCACACATACAGAAAAGTTTTCAGCACATAGCAAATCCCCTCCAGTTGAAACAAAACAGAAAAACTGGCGATGAATTCACTGTAAAGTAGGTCTGTCTGATATTCCCATGTTGGTGTTCGTCAGCGTTGCAACTGACCAGTCACGCTGTTGTGATGTCATAGCTTTGGAATATGGAGGAAAAGGAAAAACCAAATGCCTTTGTTTATATAAAACTCAGCATTTCAGGTGTTTTCTTTAAGAATTCATACAATATAATAAATATTTTATCAAGTCAGGTTTCTCACGTTGGGTTCCTCGTGACAGTAAGCTAACGTCTTGGCTAACGCTAACTGAATGCATCTGAATGCTAAGACAGTGTAAACAAGTCAGCTGCGATGCTGATTTTGGACCAACGTTGTCACCGACATAGGAATATTAGACCATGTGAAAATGTAAGTGTCCACTTTGGATATTTTCAGATAAACAGTCAAAGTGGCACAGAGGAATCTCGATATGTGCTTTAAGTATTTGATGTTAACAGTAAGTTTGCCCAAAATTTACTGCTTGGGAAAGCAGGAGAATCGACTTGTTTGTGTTCTGTGATAAGCTGCACTGATTCATTCATAAAGCTCCATCAGACCTTTAGATAGACAGCTGCAGCAGCTCTGCGTTTGCTCGAACCACTAGCATTATTTACAGCTCATCATGTGCAACGCGTTCACATGTCACTGTATGCTCACATCATGTTCTTTAAATGCAAAGTGTATTTGTTCAGTGAATATGTGCTGGCGCATTCATGCACAGCACTGTGCTTATGTGTTTTCTAAGTCCATGCACAATAGTCCAAAGGATGTTGTTTTTATTTGACCCCTTCTCTCTAAAGGAATCATATGAACTGATCGGCTCTTTGCCATCTTTCTCGACAGAACTGACAGCAGGTACGTGAAGTAGGTAGTTTGACTGATTCTCGTTAATGCCTTGCTCATTTCACGTGAATTGGACAGGGAGTGGATGGTGCTCACCAATGTCAGATTCATTGTCACGGTCCTGGTCCTTGTTTTCTGTGATGTCCTTATGTGAGACCAGGAACAGAACCACCTCGCCCTTCTCGTTCTTGATGGGAACAATGTCCAACAGACACCAGAACTTAGAGCCTTTTCAAGGAAAAGAGATCAGAACACAGACACATATTGGTTTGGAAAAAAGAAATACTGCACTAAACACTATTTAACTTGTCAGTCTGCTCCAGCAGCCGAGTCTTACCGCTCTTCTTGTACAGAATGATTTCAGTCTTGAACTCCCGGCGTTCATCCAAAGCTTTTTGCATCTGTGTGGTGAGAGGGTTGCTGGTCTCACTCCCGTACAGAAAGTGACACATGCAGCTCTTCTGCATCAGCTCGCCGCGGGCAAAGCCGGTCAGTTCGCAGAAGCCATCGGAGCAGTAGACAATGGGATAGAGAGACTGGACCTGAGCATTCCCCAGGACGAAGTTGCTGTCTGAGCGGAAGGAAGATGGGAAAGTGATGGAGCAAAGTCACAAGGGAGGAAAAAGGAGAAACATAATCAAGGTAAGAGTGTAAGAAAACTGGAGAGCAGTTAGAGGACAAAAGAACAAAACCAGAAAGCTCAAGTCGTTCTCTCTTGTTGTTAAATGCTGATAAAATACTTAATTACCACCAAACAACAGCTTAAACCAGCTGAGGCTGGGAGCTGTGCCTTTAAGGATTTGTTTTGCTGTGCATCCTGTCACATTTATGCACCACGTTGTGGGGTCAGCACCTACAGGTTCACCAAGATTATTCAAAAGGTATCGCATTAAAATTTCATCCACGGCTGTCTTTTCTTTTTTTCTTTCAGTACTCACTCTCGCTGCGTGTTTGGCTCTAAAAGGCTTCTTCTCACTTTGAAGAGCTGTCCTCAAGGAGAATTTAACATGCCTGCTGCTTTTCAATGAACTTCAAAAAAAATAATCATCTCCTTTACTTTGTTCGTCTTCTGCACCTCCCGTGCATTATCATTTTTTTCTTATTATCTTCAGCTGTTTTTTTGTTTTGTTTTTAATCACATATTTTATGATTTGGGGCCACATCAATTTATCCTTACTTAACCTTTAAATAGTTTCAGACTGAAATTAGCAACAGTATTTTCTTCTTTGTGTCGGCTTTGGCCAGTAGTTAACATTGTTAAGATTTTTATATCACTCTGTTAATTTGAAATCATCTCTTTGCAGGTTTCTATATTCATTATAATTTTTTTTGAATCGTCATGTGGCTACAACATTCTACTCTGAGAAAATTTACATTGCACAGTCTTATTATGTGCCTGCCCTCCACCATTTATATGCTATCGTTGGGAGGTTTCAGTGATTTATTTATTTAATTTCTTTTCCCAAAAGTAGACATTTTGAGATTTTAAAGTAAGCTTTAGCTGTTATAATATCATAAAAACTAGTTACATAACACCTAACCATTTAGCTATTATATAAATACTGACATATCCAATTTTTAAAGCTATATAATATATTAATAGTTAGCCATAGCTCAGTTACTAAACTAAAATTAATTCTGTGTGATACATTTTTCTATAATTTCTTTTAATATATACTCATATGAATTACTATGAGGAATTTAGACTGACTTGGATAAAGTCTACAGCTAGATAACATAAAACCACAGACTGTATATAAGTGATGGATGCAGTGGTGTCTTTGATTAAAATCCTATTTAATGGCCAGCAGGAAGTGACTCCAAAAAGATCCCAGAGATGCTGAGCACTTGTTGGCCCTTTTGCCTTCACTCTGTGGTCCATCTCATCCCAAACCATCTTGATTGGGTTTAGGTCAGGTGACTGTGGAGGCCAGCACTCACTCCCCTCATTGGTCAAATAGCCCTTACACACTTGACGTGTGTTTGGGGTCATTGTCCTGTTAAAAAATAAACAATGGCCCAACTAAACGCAAACTTGTTGGGATGGCATGTCGTTGCAGGATGCTGTGGTAGCCATGCTGGTTCAGTGTGCCTTCAGTTTTTAATAAATCACCAGCAAAGCACCCCCACACCACCTCCTCCATGCTTCACGGTGGGAACCATGCATGTAGAGACCATCAGTTCACCTTTTCTGCATCGCATAAGACATGCCAGGTGGAAACAAAGATCTCAAATTTGGACTCATTAGACCAAAGCAAAGATTTCCACTGGTCTAATCTCCATTCCTTGTGTTTCTTGTGACCAAACAAATCTCTTCTGCTTGTTGCTTTTCCTTAGTAGTTTTTTCTGACCACAAAGGCCTGATTTGTGTGTATCAGGCCTTTGTGGTCAAATGTGGTCTCCTCTGAACAGTGGATGTAGAGATGTGTCTGCTACTGGAACACTGTGTGGCATTTACAGTGGCTTGCAAAAGTATTCGGCCCCCTTGAACTTTTCCACATTTTGTCACATTACAGCCATAAACATGAATCAATTTTATTGGAATTCCACGTGAAAGACCAACACAAAGTGGTGCACACGTGAGAGTTGGAACGAAAATCATACATGATTCCAAACATTTTTTACAAATAAATAACTGCAAAGTGGGGTGTGCGTAATTATTCAGCCCCCTGAGTCAATACTTTGTAGAACCACCTTTTGCTGCAATTACAGCTGCCAGTCTTTTAAGGTCTGTCTCTACCAGCTTTGCACATCTACAGACTGAAATTCTTGCCCATTCTTCTTAGCAAAACAGCTCCAGCTCAGTCAGATTAGATGGGCAGCGTTTGTGAACAGCAGTTTTCAGATCTTGCCACAGAGTCTCGATTGGATTTAGATCTGGACTTTGACTGGGCCATTCTAACACATGGATATGTTTGCTTTTAATCCGTTCCATTGTTGCCCTGGCTTTATGTTTAGTGTCGTTGTCCTGCTGGAAGGTGAACCTCCGCCCCAGTCTCAAGTCTTTTGCAGACTCCAAGAGGTTTTCTTCCAAGATTGCCCTGTATTTGGCTCCATCCAGCTTCCCATCAACTCTGACCAGCTTCCTGTCCCTGCTGAAGAGAAGCACCCCCAGAGCATGATGCTGCCACCACCATATTTGACAGTGGGGATGGTGTGTTCAGACTGATGTGCAGTGTTAGTTTTCCACACATAGCGTTTTGCATTTTGGCCAAAAGGTTCCAATTTGGTCTCATCTGACCAGAGCACCTTCTTCCACATGTTTGCTGTGTCCCCCACATGGCTTGTGGCAAACTGCAAACGGGACTTCTTATGGTTTTCTGTTAACAATGGCTTTCTTCTTGCCACTCTTCCATAAAGACCAACTTTGTGCAGTGCACAACTAATAGTTGTCCTATGGACAGATTCCCCCACCTGAGCTGTAGATCTCTGCAGCTCGTCCAGAGTCACCATGGGCCTCTTGGCTGCATTTCGGATCAGCGCTCTCCTTGTTCGGCCTGTGAGTTTAGGTGGACGGCCTTGTCTTGGTAGGTTTACAGTTGTGCCATACTCCTTCAATTTCTGAATGATGGCTTGATCAGTGCTCCGTGGGATGTTCAAGGCTTGGGAAATCTTTTTGTAGCCTAAGCCTGCTTTAAATTTCTCAATAACTTTATCCCTGACCTGTCTGGTGTGCTCTTTGGACTTCATGGTGTTGTTGCTCCCAATATTCTCTCAGACAACCTCTGAGGCCGTCACAGAGCAGCTGTATTTGTACTGACATTAGATTACACACAGGTGCACTCTATTTAGTCATTAGCACTCATCAGGCAATGTCTATGTGCAACTGACTGCACTCAGACCAAAGGGGGCTGAATAATTACACACACCCCACTTTGCAGTTATTTATTTGTAAAAAATGTTTGGATTCATGTATGATTTTCGTTCCACTTCTCACGTGTGCACCACTTTGTGTTGGTCTTTCATGTGGAATTCCAATAAAATTGATTCATATTTGTGGCTGTAATGTGACAAAATGTGGAAAAGTTCAAGGGGGCCGAATACTTTTGCAAGCCACTGTATCTGGGCTCTAATCTGAGGTCCTGTTAACTTGTGATTTCTGAGGCTGGTGACTCGGATGAATTTATCCTCAGCAGCAGAGGTGACTCTTGGTCTTCCTTTCCTGGGCCGGTCCTCATGTGAGCCAGTTTCATTGTAGCACTTGTAGCACCTGGTTTTTGCGACTGCACTTGAGGACACATTGAAAGTTTTAGCAATTTTCTAGACTGACTGAGCTTTAGCTCTTAAAGTAATGATGAACTGTTGTTTCTCTTTACTTAGCTGATTGGTTCTTAAGAAAGGCACACCTGTAAAGCGAAAACCATTTCAGGTGACTACATCATGAAGCTCATTGAGAGAAGGTCAAGGGTTTGCAGCGCTGTCAACAAAGCAAAGGGCTTTGTTGACAGCGCTACTTTGAGGAATCTAAAATATAAAACATATTTAGAGTTATTTATCAATTTTTATTTGCTACATAATTCCATATATCTTGCTTCATATATTTGATGTCTTCAGTGAGTATCTACAATGTGTGTCCAAACTTTTGACTGCTAGTGTGTGTGTATGTAAGCATACGTAACTTGACGAGCAGGCTATGATATAAGCCAGAGCTATGACAAATCTTTTGACAGCTTAAGTTATGCAGCCAGCCTTGAATAATTCATTATCAGACATTGGGTTAGGTATGATAACTGACTCACACTCTTAAGGCATTCATTCCATTGAGATCATTAAAGTCCATGCATGCATGAATCTGGGGGACTGGAGCAACCACTTTGAAGAATGTGAGCAATACAGGATGAGAGAGCCAATGATTGAATGAGATGAGCAGGAATAGATGGATCAATAGATGCATATAAAGGGAGATTGCTTAAATAACTGGGGACAATGACATTTTATAATTTGCACATTAATAAAGCATGCCCAATGTAAATGCTCTTGCCAGACCTTGAAGCACTACTCAGACATAAATACAAACTGCCTCTCAGTGCTAGAGGCTCATGGAAAGTCACATACTTCTCCGAGGCAGTACACTGAAGTTGTAAATCAGAATAATTAACTGACAAAAAATATTTTTGTGCATATTGTGTCATCATTAAATATATGGCTCAATAAAATCTCATTTATTGTGACACAGACATGTGAAAAATAAAGTTTTCCTAACATAATAAAAGAATAGCAGCCAAATGCTACTAATCAACTGCGTTTGATTGGCTGATAACCAGCCAGTGTGAGCATCTCTTAAAAAAAACTAAAGTTTTGGCAGTTTGCTGGTCTGGAGCATTCAGGTGTGTTAACACAATGTCTCAGTCTCCTCAGGCGTGGATACCCAGTCAATTCCACCAAAGGTCAGGCTATGCAATGCTCAGAGAAACTACAAAAACAAAACAAAGAGCTACAGCTACAGTTAGCATGTTAAATGTTAAAGTTCATGACAGTACAATTAGAAAAAAATGGTGCCAGGAGAAAGTTTCTTCTCTTCAAAAAGTTCATGCCATTATGGCTTAAGCTTATAAAACTGCATCTGAACAA